CTGGTGGCCCTGGAGTGCCTCAGCGCGCCTGACCCCGCCCGGGGGGCGGTAGTGCTGAGGTAGCACTGCGAGGCGGACAAGGCCTCCACGAGACCCAGCACGTCGGTCCTCTGCTGTGCTCCCTTCCAGGAGGACTTTGGGAATCGGCTCATGCCTGCCTTCAACACGCCCTCCAAGATCCCCTACTCTGACGTCAACATTGGCACGGGCGTCGCCCACCCCCCTCGGTGGACCTCAGACAGCACGGTGGCCGAGGTGACCAGCATCCAGCTGGAGTTCCGGGAGCTCTCTCGGCTCACAGGAGTTAAGAAATTCCGGGTAGGAAGGGCCGGATTTCTGACCGGACGCGCTTTCCCGCTGAGCCCACCTTTGCTCGGCCCAGCATGTGCGGTGTGTGTGTGTTCACCTCTCGTTGTCAGGCTTTGGCTTTTTCGTGCTTAGGTGCATGCAAAGTGTGCCGTCTTAACCATGTTTAAGACATTGTTGGCCTCCATGATGCCACGTGGCCACCACCGTCCGTCTCCCCACTCTTCATCTGGGAGTCTCCAGGCCAAGAGGCCACAGCTCCTGGTAGCACCGTTCTCCATCCTGCTTCTGTGAACTATCTGTACTAGGTCCTTGCAGGAGTAGAATCACCTAATACTTGTTCCTTTTTTTTTTGAGTTGGAGTCTCACTCTGTTGCCCAGGCTGGAGTGCAGGGGCCACTCCTGGCCACCGCAACCTCGACCTGCTGGGCTCCGGCGATCCTTCCGCCTCAGCCTTCCAAGTAGCTGGAATTACAGGCATGCGCTACCACGCCCGGCTGATCTTTTGATTTATTGTAGAGATGAGGTCTTGCTGCCCAGGTGGGTCTCGAACCCGTGGGCTCAGGCGGTCCATTCACCTCAGCCTCCCAAAGGCGCGGGATTACAGGCTGAGCCACTGAGCCCGGCTACTTGTTCCTTTTTGTGGGGATGGGAGGGAAGGCAAGGGTCAGTCTTACTCTGTTGCCCAGGCTGTAGTGCAGTGGCACGATCATGGCCACCACAGCCTCCACCTGCTGGGCTCAGGTGATCCTTCCACTGCAGCCTTGCAAGTAGCTGGAACTAGGTGTGTGCTGCCACACCTGGCTAATTTTTCTTTTTTGTTTCTTGTAGAGACGAGGTCTCGCCACGGTGCCCAGGCTGGTATCAAGCCCGGGGCTCAGGCAGTCCTCTCGCCTCAGCCTCCCAAAGTGCTGGGACTACAGACGTGAGCCACCATGCCCGGCCACGGTGTTTGTTCTTTAGTGATGGGCTTCTTTCACGGAGCACGATGTCCTCAGGGTTCACCGTGTTGTGGCTTGTGTCAGAATTCTTTCCTCTTGCAGCTGAGTAGTATTCCCTGGGGTGTGTATGCCACATTCTGCTTGTCCACCATTCGCTGGTGAACACTGATTGCTTTTGGAGCCGTTGTCAGTGGTGTGGCTGGGAATGTGGTGTGCGACACCTTTCTGAGTCCCTGCTTTCAGGTCTGGGTGTATACCGGCAGTCCAGGCATGGCAGCACACACCTGGTTCCAGCTACTTGCAAGGCTGCAGCGGAAGCATCACCTGAGCCCAGCAGGAGGAGGCTGGGGTAGCCATGATTGCCCGCCCGCCCAGCAGTTCTGTTTAACTTTCTGAGGAACTGCCGTACGGTCTTCCTTAGCAGCCGAGCCATTTCATGTTCCCGCCAGCTGGACGCCAGAGTTCACGTTTCCTCACGTCCCTCCAGAGCCTGGCCCTTTCCGCTTTGCTGGTGGCCGCTGTCTTGATGGGTGTGAGTGCGTCTCCTGGTTTTGATGTCATCTCCTCGCAGGAGGGCTGTCGAGCAGCTCCTCACGTGCTGCCTGGCCGCCCGCACGCCCTGGAGGAGTGTCCGCTCGAGCCTTGGCCCGTTTTTGACCAGGCAGTTGTTCTGTTGGTGTAGGATTTCCACGTCTGTTCTCTCTCCTCTGCTGGGAGGAGGCAGCAGCGCCCACGGAGCCCCTGCGCAGCTCACGGAAGCCCGTGTCCCCTTTCTGCCGCAGGAGGCCGCGGAGACAGTGACGCGGCACATCCACAAGCTGTCTGGCAAGAAGGACGGCCTGGTGCCCATGTTCATCAACACCCACAGCGGCCTCTTCACCCACCTGGGCGTGTTCACGCTGGGCGCCAGAGCCGACAGCTACTACGAGTACCTGCTGAAGCAGTGGATCCAGGGCGG